ACTCAATAACCGAATGGATGGACAAATTTAAAGATGAATACGGTGACCGAGATGAAGAAGTCCTAGGCTTACGTGAGGCCTACGCAAGGAAATTTGAACTCGGAAAAGAATCGCTTGACCAATACTATCAAGCGATGATGCGGTTTAAGGCAAAGAGAATCATTACTGAGAAACAGGCCGTGGGCTTCTTAATCGAAGGATGTAGAGTCGACAATGAGCTCTACAAAGCCCTGCGTATACAAAAGTGCAAGACGCCAGCGGACGTGAAGGATTTCTTTCGACATTGGGCCACCGGCGAAGAGAAATATAAGGCGCCTAAAGGTCAACGTAACCAGGAGTACGTGACCATCCGCCAAGGCCAAGTCGAAAATGTGCCGCAACAGCGAATGGCAGCTGCACCAGTTCAGCAACCAGTTGAATACCGAGTGGAGACTCCGGTTAGAGAGGTCACGGAAAAAGTGACCTTTATCGACAGTCAGACGGGGCAACCGATAACGTACGCAATGGTAGCGGCGATACAAGCGGCAGCTCAGGTGAGACCGGTACCTCAGAATGTGGCTCCACCAGTACCACAGAATGTGGCCCCTATGAATGTCGGGTTACCACAACAAGGAGGGGGTAACCGAAACTTCGGCGGAAATGGATACGGAAATGGAAACTGGAACGGAGGTCAAGGAAACTTTCAGAATCAAGGTCAAGGTCAAGGCAACTTCCAGCCAAACAGAGGAAATCAAAATAACCTTCAGCAGAATCAAGGGTCACGAACAGAGTTTAAATTTCAAATGATTGACGGATGGGTGGCGAACAATGTGCAGATGTGCCAGTACTGTATGTATGGCAATCATCAGACACAAGGATGCAAGTTCGCCAATACACCACCGGAACAGAATCCGAATCTGTTTGCCTTCAGGGAATGGCAACGACTGCGCGCCACAGGCGGCTGGCGCCTAGCGGTGAATAATGGATATGACCTCATCACCCAGTGGTACCAGCACAAAGCAAACTTCCAAAACCAACAAGGGAATGGAAACGGGAACTACGGAAATGGAAATGGCGGTGGCCAGAATGGCGGCTACGGCCGTGGTGGCTTCGGCCGCGGCGGCTTCAGAGGAAGGAACAGAGGCTATGGCCGCGGAAACTTCAGAGGAGGCCAGAACAATGGAGGCGGCCAAGATAACTACCAACAGGGTGGTGGCCAATACAACAATGGCAACGGACAGAATCCTAACCCGGCAAACGATATCGGACAACAACAAGGAAATGTGCAAGGAAATGTGCAAGGCGTGCAACAAGGTGGGGCGCCGGTTCAGGGAAACGGGCAAGATCAGTAGGCACCGGTGAGCCTACTGATCGACCCGACCCTAAACCACCGGATAAAAGGGAAAGGTCACCACTGCAGAATGGTACTGCAGTGAATGTGACCACTGCAACGGCTATATGGATGCCGTCAGCGAAAAAGCAAAATGGACCGGCTATATGGATGCCGCAACCACAAGAAACGGCTAGATGCATGCCGCCACAGCGAAGAGAAACGGCTATATGGATGCCGTCACCGCAAAAAGGGAATGGAACGGTTATAAGGATACCGTCACAGAATCAAAGGTCACCGCAGAATGGCACTGCGAGTGGGAATGTTCAAGTGGACAAAAGGTCACCGCAGAATGGTACTGCGAGTGGAAATGTTCAAGTGGATAAAAGGTCACCGCAGAATGGTACTGCGAGTGGAAACGCGCAACGGGACCAAAGGTCACCGCAGAATGGTACTGCGAGTGGAAATTGTCGTGACGGTAGCGCGACACTGCAAAAAGTGCAGCAAAACGAAAGGTCACCGTACTGCAGCGAAGAAGTGTTAGCGCAACGACGCGCACAACGGAACGCAAAGATTAAACAGGCGTTGCTGGATCAGAAGAAACCGCAGAACGATACTGCGCAAGAAGAAAATGAGCAACATGCGAAATTCCGGAAATACTTGGCAGAAAATGATAAAGCGAATGAACCAGGTTGCGACTGTTACGGAGAGATAAAGCCAAAGTTCTGGAATTGTTCAGAGGACGAAGAAGAGAAGTTGATAAGGCAAAAATGGATTGAGCAGAATATCACTAACAGTAAAGATGAAAGGTCACCTTCTGTGGGAAAAGTCCAACTGAAAGGTCAAGGAGCAAGTGCGAACGCTAAAGGTCACGGTGAAAGTGCCGTGTTAAAAGGTCAAGAAACGGACTTGACACTGCGGACAGCGCAGCAGAAGAATAGCGAACTGGCACAACAGGACTCCGAAGACTCACTTGTTGATGCAGTAACTCTGCAACAGAAGGAGAAGTGGCAAAAAGTGGCCTACAGACCGAATGGCAATCACGGGATGTGGATACCTGTGACGCCGAAAGCAAAGCAGAAAGCGAGAATGTCACAAGAGGACTACTGGGACATGCAACAGCTGCGAACGCAATGTGAAAGAAAGCGACTGGAAGAGTTGGTTACCGGGAAACCAGCGCAAGGGTCATCGAACCCAGTCCCAGTATTCAATCCAGAGGAATATAAGAAGACATTCGCTGACTGGAATTATTCACGTAATGCTCCACCACAGGATAAACCGCCGAATTACGGAGAAAAAGTTTCCATACAAAAGCTGACAAACGGCGGATTTGTCATGAAGCGCAACGAAAGGTCACAGGACTTAGCGCAAAATGAACAAAAAGGACGGTCAAATGAGATGGCGCAAACGCGACAGAGTAACGCAGTCGAAAGGTCACGGGACTTATCGCAAGCACTACAGAAGGACGCTAACGACAAGTCACCAGCCCGAACAGACGGGATGTCTTCGCAAGTTGACCCAACGAAAACGAATAATGAAGTATCTGCAAAAGTGATGCAATGGATGACCGAAAAAGGATATGACATGGTTACATACGAAAGGTCACCAGATGAGATGAAAGACAGTGAAGCAGACGAACTGAAGCAAGCCGACCAAATAACAAGCGAAGTCATCGAGAAGCTGCGAGATAAGCGAAATGAAAACCGTAAAGAGGAACTGATTCATCAGACGATAAATGAAGTGACTAAAGGTCACGAGGATAGCACAAAAGCAAATGAGCAAGTGCAGAAAATGCAGAAGCAAACAAATAAAGAAAAGCCGCGAAAATACTACGATGTCCGAACTGACGTTCCACACAGGATTGATAAGTTGAGCGAAATACTGAAAGGTCATAGCACTTCAGTAAAAGGACAGGTGCTTCCCGATATGGATCCGGGACCAGTATCGCTGATTCCTGTAAAATGCAAGATTCACACGTTGAAAATTCAAAATGGAAAACTGCCCAAAAGAATTGAAGCGTACACACATGAGGTGAAAGTGGGAGACATAAAGGTCAACGCAATGTTGGACACCGGCGCTGAGACGTCGCTGATCAGCAAACCGTTTTGCGAGAAGAATGGACTTCATATGCTCCCATTGCCACCAGACAGATTGGTGAAGATAAACGGAATTAGTGGAACGTCAGGATTCTTGGTGACGCATTACTGTGTAGCACCGGTGACCTTACGAAAGAAGACAAGCGAACATTCCTTCTACGTCCGACCGAAGTGTGACGACGTACAGGTGTTATTGGGATTTGACTTCTTGGAAAAGAAATTTGTACTGATGGATAACGAAGGCGAAGAAGAAAAAGAAGATGACCCGAAACCAGTTGCTAAAGTACAAGTCGGAAAGGTCACCGAACTTGCAAAACAGGAAAATGGTCAAACGGCCAATAAAACGCTAATCCCAGTACCAGAGGCACCGGGGAACGAAAAGAAAAAGATGTTTCCAAAAGGATTGTCACCATTTGAACAGCTGCAAATGATTCAACAGGAGATTGAAAACACGTTAAACCGGACAATGCTGACACAAAAGGGAAGAGAAAAGGTCATCCCAGTACCAGAGGCACCGGGAATGACGAGAGTACACCAGAACGAGATTAGCCAACGGATAATCCCGGTACCAGAGGCACCGGAGAAGAAAAGAGAAAGTGGAAAGGTCAAAGAAGTTAACGAAAAGAAAAAGGAACCGCTTGCGCCAGATACGGATGAGGCGATCATATTTCTCCCGGACGGGAGAAGTATGATCGCAGATGACTGTAAGCAAGGAGCCACAGAAAAAGAATGTGTTGAAAAAGTTATCCCAGTACCAGAGGCACTGGAAATAAAGACGGCTAAAGTGGGGAAGGATAAAAAGAGTGAAAGGTTACGAGTTTTGAAACGAATAACTGAAGAGGAACAGATGTTTACGAGCGAAATCCGCAACAAGGCGCTCGAACAGTTGAAAGGTCACAGAACACAAAAAGAACCAGAGGTCATTCTAATATCCTCTGAGGATAAAAGCGTGACTCCGATCGAATGTGAGGAAGACACCACAATACAGGAACAGGTTAAACCTCAAGCGAGTCAAAGGACATTAACTCCAGAAGAACGAGCCGGGAGTTGTCACCACGGTTACTTTGAGGATCCGTGCAGAGTGCAACCACAATGGGAATGCGCGGAATGTTGTGAAAATGCCTCTCGAGATGACCTTTCAGAATGGCCGAAATGTAACACCGCATTAGCAGACCTTGAAGGTCATGCCCAAAAGGAAGTGAAAAGCATCATGCGGACAAACGAAATGTGGAAACCACACATCGAACGGTATCATTGGAATAGATATCGAACGTGGTTGTCATGTGTGGAAAGTTTTATAATCGGAAGAGGCAGATGGCTAAACCATTGGTTGCAACGTGTCGAGGAAGGAATCCAAGATCCCCTTGATCCGGTAGCAACCGAAAAGAGATTTGAAAGAGAGATAGAAGAGATGACCGAAGAAGGAGAAATGTGGGAAGAAGCGAGAGTTGACCTTTTCTGGGACTTCCGTGTGAACCACATGTATAAAAGGTGAAGGGAGGACGATTATTTTCCCGGCAGGACTTGGTACGCCTGTCTACGAATCACTCGAAGTATATTACAACGCGTTAAAAGAGGGGAACGAAGAAGTATTCCAAAAATACTGGAATAAATTTGAAGAAGAAATCCCCAAATTCGACGTAAAAGAGATGCGAGAACTACAGGTAACCCGGAAAAGAAGGCTACCGGGAATAATGCAAAAGAAAAAGGTGACTTTTGCACAAGATCCAGATGGAGTGGACTACCCAGAACGAGGTGGCGATACGTGGTGCATGTATGAAACGATTCCGAATGATGAATGGGTCACCGAAGAACTTATGGCAAACTGCATTTTCGTCGGTCCCAAACGACCTAAAGGTTACGAAACAGTCCAACAGGATGAAGTTGATAAAGGGACCGAAAAAGAAGCGGAAAAAAAGGAACCAGTTGAAGAGATAGTCGAAGGAGGATCGAACGAAACGGAAGAAAGTTCAAAGTCGGCTTTCGACATCGCACGGATGTTAACAGATAGAGGAGAAATGTGGAAGAAGTTCAAAGAGGAAGTTGAGAGGATATCGAATGAACAACAAAACCCAGTAACGGAGGCAAAAAACGGGGAAATGTCACTCGATAACGGTGAGGAATGTCCGCCGGTCGAGTTGACCGAAAAGCCATTAACGAGCCCCGAAGAAATAAATGAACTGGAAAAGTCAAAATCGGACGAAGAAAGGTCAAACTCCGATCAATCAGAAAGGTCACCAACGAGAATTCGGGTAGCAAGGAGTCACCCAAGAGTCGCCGCACGAAACGGACGAAAGGCAAAAGAAGGGGACAAACCTCTGCTCAAAAATTTGAAAGCGAAAAACTTAGCGATTCGCGGGAAAACGAAAGTGACCTTTCATCAGAAGACGAAGGAGTTGATGAGCGCCCAATTGAAAAAGTTGACAAAGGTCAAGCTACTGCACAAGAATATGAGAGCAGTAACTCCGACTCCGAGTGGACGAGTTCAAGTGATAACTCAACGACTTCGGAAGATTCAGGTGTAAGTGACCTTTCAGAACAAGAAGATTTAATGGACTTGGATGAAGATGACGAAGTAGATGAGGAAAAAGAAAAGGATATTAAAGTCAGAAGATTGAAAGTGGAAAAGGCTAGGATGTCGAAAGACGTGATCAAAGTCTACAGTGACCAAAGAATCAAATTGAAACCGTCCAATTGCACACGCGTAAAGGTCAAGATGGGAAAATACGCACCTGCCCAAAACAAGTTGATGTTTACACCGGTCCCACAAGTGGAAACGGAAGTGCAACCATTGGCAGGAGTAACGGATCACAGAGGAAAGTACTTTGAAATCGTCATTGCGAATCACAGCAGCAAATAACGGATTGTGAAGAAAAATCAGCTTCTTGGCTACGTTGAGCCGTATGAACATAGGGAAAATGTAAAGGTCAACGCAGGGACAGTAAAGAACGTACTCGAAGACCCTGAGGTGGATGATACAACGAAAGCTGAATTGAAGAAGATAATCGAAAACCTGAAATTGGGACCTGACTTTACCCAGGAACAGAAAAACGATGTGTACAACGCGTTCTGGGAATTCTGGAAAGTCTTACCGACATCCAAGAAACCGTATGGAGATGTGAAAGGGGTCACCCATGTAATTGATACGGGAGATGCGAAGCCAGTTAAATGTAACCCGGCCAGAACGAGTTGGACAGGCCGCGAGTTTATAACAAAGCATATCGAAGAGATGTTGGCACAAGATGTAATTGAACCGTCAGACGCCGAGTGGAGTTTCCCAGTCGTATTGGCAGTAAAGAAAAATGGCGACGGAACAATGGGAACAAGATTTTGCGTCAATTACATCATGCTTAACAAGCTAACGAGAAAGAATAATTACCCGCTACCAAATCCGGATGAGTTGCTCGACGCGTGCGCAGGCAACAAATATTACGGAAAAATGGATTTACAAAGTGGATTTTGGCAGATCCCAATGGATCCAGCGTCAATCAACAAGACGACCTTTGTAACGCAAGATGGAATGTACCGATTTAAAAGAATGCCATTCGGCGTATGCAACGGACCAGCAACATTCCAATTGTGTATGGACAAAGTTCTCTCGAAAGCAAAAAGAAAGGGTTGCGTTTTCGGGTACATTGATGACGTGATCTTCGCCGGAAAGACTTGGGCGATCTTCATGCAGAATCTGCGAAATGTCTTAATGAGTCTGGTTGAAGCGGGATTCACGATTAAACCAACCAAGTGCGAATTTGGAATGAGACAAATGGGATTTCTGGGTCATATACTCAGCGAAGACGGAATTCGTATGGACCCGGAAAAGGTCACCGCGGTCTCCGAGTTCAAACGGCCTCAGACTGAAAGACAATTAAGGTCATTCCTTGGACTAGCGAACTATTACCGCAAGTTCATAATGGGATACGCACAGAAGACTTGCCACTTGTATGAGCTGCTGAGACAAGATAAACATGTGAAAAAAGACTGGACAGCAGTACATGAAGAAGAGTTCAACAGCTTGAAACAGCTGTTATGTGAAGGTCCAGTATTGGCAAAGTTTGACCCTGCAAAACCGACCGTCATCGAATGCGACGCGAGCAAAGAAGGAATTGGGGCCGTACTGTCACAAGATGGACATCCAATTGCATATGCGAGCCGCGTCCTACATGGAGCGGAGAAAAATTACGGTGTAACGGAATGGGAATGTCTGGCAGTAGTGTTCGCTGTCAGGAAATTTAAGCCGTATATCGATTACGCAGAATTCACCGTAAGGACGGATCATCAGGCGCTGACCAATTTGCTAAGGTCAGAGACGAATAAAGTCGGAATGAACCCGCGCTTGACAAGATGGGCAATGGCATTACAAGGTCATCAATTTAAAATCGAATACAAACCAGGAAAATATTGTGACAACGCAGATGCGTTTTTAAGAGCACCAATTGAAGGTCCGACGTGTCAAGAGGAGGAATTTGATGAGATTCCAAACTTCGAGGATTATAAGAAGGAATTTGACACGAAAGAACCAGCAATCGAAATCGGTCAGCTGTTCCTACAGATGGTGGAACAACGAGAAAAACGGTTAAAGGTCACTTCAGCTACGGCGAATGAGTCGGCTGAAAACGAAGTACAAGTGAACCGAGTGAAAAGCTGGTTGCCCGCTGTTAGTGACTTAAAGGTCACCGGACTTGATGCGGATTTTACAGTACAGAAGGAAAAGGTCACGGGACTTAATGTTGGACCAGAGAAAGATGACCTTTGGGAAACGGATAAGGTGGCACAAGCGTTAAATGAGTGCCCGATTAAGTTGCTGAGATTCCCAAAACAAATGAAAAAGAGGTACAAACCGTTACCACGCTGCAAGGTCATCAAAGATTGGAATGAACTCAGCACAGCGACAGTCCGCATCGTTAACCTACAAGGAGATGAAGAAGAAGAGGATGACTCAAATCTGCAGCTACGGAATAAACAGTTAAAAGATCCCCATCTGGCAATGATTATAGATGAATTGGAACATCTACCAGACGCGGAGACAAGATCGAAATTTGAAGTACATTACCAGTTGTGGAACGGCATATTATACCGAGTAAAGGATAAAAATGGGAGACTTGAAAGGTCATATGTGGTACCGTTGTCCATGCGAAGAGCGATAATTCACGCATTGCACGACGAGAAGGCGGCAGGACATCTGGGATTCGAAAAGACATTATCTGCAATCCGACTACGATATTACTGGGACAGGATGAGTACAGATGTGAAGAATTACATTCTCGCCTGCCAAGGATGTCAGTTTCGTAAAACACCGAGGAAATGCCCGCCAGGAAAATTGCAAGAGATTAAAGTCGGACATCCGTTCTTCCGGGTGTATGCTGATCTCAAAGGACCTTTGCTACCGACGAAGAAACGCGGATATAAGTACATAGCGGTGTTCATTGATCAACTGACGAAATACGTGATTGCGGTACCAATGAAGACGGCAACGGCTAAAGAATTTGCCAAAGTGTTTGTGAAGCACGTGATATTGGTACACGGAGCACCGCACATCCTACATACGGATCGTGGACGACACTTTACAGCTGAAGTATTGGCAAAGGTCACCAATGTGTTTAAGATTAAACACACATTCGGAACGGCATACCATCCAGAAGGTCAAGGCCAAGTTGAAAGGCAAATGCAGACAATTGCGGATGGTTTGGCACAATATCTGAAGGCGGGAAATGAACGAAAATTTAATAAGTATCTCCCATACGTTATCTCGGCAATGAACAGAGTCGTGCACGCCACAACGGGATATTCAGCATACTATATGCTACACGGCAGAGAAATGACAATGCCGGAAGATGTGGTTACAAAAACGAATATACCCGATGATTATGGAACTCCAGACGAATGGGTGGAGACCATGAAAAAGAACTTGACCTTTGCCGAAGAAGTGGCGAGATGTAACATCAAAGACGCTTATGAGAAGAATGCGGAAATTTACAATAAGAAGAAATCGGAGCCGAATTTCAAAGTGGGCGACCTCGTACTGATACGATTACCAAAGGACACGAAACAAGGGAAGAAAGAAAACCAGTCGGACTTTAAGTCGAAATACGATAAAGTGTGGAAGATTCTGAGTTTCCCGCGAACAAACGAAGCTGAGGTCATTGAGCAGAACCCTAAGAACGAAGCAGACTTAAAGGTGGTCTCGATCGACCGATTAAAGCTGTGGCATCCGCCATTACCTGAGGAAAAAGATTCGCAAAAAGTATCGGAGCGTACCTCGAATTTTTTCGAACCACCTCTGCTACCTGAAGTAGAACAAGGAACAGTAGAACGAGTAACAGAGCGTACTCAAAAAGACTCGGCAGAATATTTTTTCGAACCACCTCTGCTTCCCGAAACGGAGAAAGCTAACGGAAAAGAAAATGAATCAGAGCGGAGTCCGAAAAATGACTCAGTCACACAACAAAAGCCATTTTTCGAACCACGCACTCTGCTACCTGATATGAGTGGAGATAAACCGAGGAAGAAGAGAGGAAGACCCAGGAAAGAAGACAAAGATTTCGAGACAGCAGTTACAAAAAAGTTGAACGCAGAAGCTGGAAATTTGGCAGAAAGGTCACCAGCTTTCGGAGAAGAAATCGAAGTAGCAGGACGCGCTTCGCAAAAGGATTTCGAACCGAATCAAAAGCCTTTTTTCGAACCACGTACTGCTACCGGAGACAAAGATGACCTTTTGAAACAGCAAGTTGGCGCTGGAATATCAGAGCGCGATTCGAATTTTTTCGAACCACGCACTGCTACCGGCAATGAGAATGACCTCATAAGGAAGAGAGATGAGGAAATAGAGGCGGTCAAAACAAAGGCAGAACAATTGGGCCGCGATATAGCGAAAGCAATCAATGAGCGAAAGGTCAAGCAGAAGAAGAAGAAACCAACTCCTACGGAACTGCTAACCCAGAAAGGCGAACCTGAGGACGCAGCCGAGAAAGAACTCCTTGATCGGATAACTAAAGGACGCGAGAACAAATAACCACATAGACATAAATAAGGGGTCACACTAGATTAAAAATAGGAGTTGGGAAGGCAAAAAGAAAGGTCATCACTGTGCAAAAAGTTAACCTTTATTGTTTCATCTTTATAGAAGGTAAGCACAGTTAATGGAAAGACTGGAACTGCAAAACTCGGATAATTCTGATTCGGAAAGTATTGGAAACCCATTAAAAGCATCGACACCTATAAGAATGGAAGGTGAATACGGTTACGACACCTCATACGGTGAGGGATCGACGTCGTCAATGGGAACAGCTCAGAATGAAACCGGAACAGTTCAAGGAGGTTATTACGGCGGCCAAGGGTATTACGTGTATCACGATCCAGGACAGCAAACGAATTACCAGGACACAGTTAACTGGGTGCACCACGGCTCACCTGCCGGAACCCAGTATTCGGGACAAGTAACGGGCACCCCTTATCAACCGTACCCGGGATCGTATACCCCACCGTCGGGACCCTCACAGGTGATAATGGGACCGGCAAGAATGTTGATGCCGCCACCGCAACAGACTACACCGAGTCGATTTACGGGACAGGGAGGATTCGGCGGAATGATGGTAACTCCAGCGCGATCACAAAGGTCATCCCCGATATTACCGCCTTTTCCGGAGACGCGAGGCTTGTCACTGTCGGACATCGGAGCGCCTCGCATGAGAACACCGCAGCAACTTGGAGCACAGCGCCCTCATCGTAATTCGCCACACAGAGGAGGAAGGCGACCAAGAGGCATTTTACCGTCACTGGGTCCCAATTTGGATCAGACTGGACCAGATGGTTTACGGCTTACGCCCCCAGGCGAACCCTCAATACATGAATACGCACCGAAGCTTCCTTTGGACTTGAGAGATGATGACCCGAACCTGAATTTAATAGTGGATAAAAAGGAAAAACTGACGGAAGCCGACTTAGAAGCCATCCGCGACTTCAATCGGAAATGCCGTGACCTTTACAGAATCCACATGCGAGTTGAAGACGAACACGCATGGTATGGAAAGTTAATCAGCTTGGAAGCTGTTATCACACCATGCCACATTGCCATGAAAGATAAGACGAAGCAGGTTGAAGCAAAGCGCAAGGAATACGCAATCCAAGTTGCATCGATGTGGCAATATCATCCGACAATAAAAGGTAGAAGGTGGCCGGAGACTGTCGAAAAGATCCTTAGATATCTCAAGGTGTTCCCAGAAACAAGACAGACGCCGACTACCAGCGTCGCGGGACCATCCAAACTCATAGCTGAAAAAGACGCCCCGGTCGATGAAATGACGGATGAGGACCTTTTGGCAACAAAGAAGAAGATTGATGCTGAATTAACTGAACGAGCAGAAAGGTCACGGGCCAGCTCCACCGCAGGATCAGTACGTGGACGCACTAGTTCGGTTACAGAACCATCTAGCGGAGCCACGAAGAGTGGAAAAAGAGCAAGGTCACCAACGATAAGCCCAAAAGAAACTGACAAGAAAGGGCAGCGAACGAAGAAGGCCACGTCAGGTAAAGCAACACCAGCTGATTTGGCAAAGCCACAAGGCCCAGTCCCAGTGGGTAGAAAGAGTGCGCCACCCACACCGGCTGGAACAGAAGGTCAGATTCGATTCCCGAAGTGTAGAAGTTTCACGGCCAAGTACACTGGGGAAGACCATAAGGAACGAAAGGTTACGGCACGTATAGTCGATAAGAAAACGAATAAAGAGATCGACTCGTATAATCCCCTCGCGGATAAGTCAGTTAAGGATGCCATTGGGGAAGAGTCAAAAACGGTAGTCAACGAGGCGCTACAGTTTATTCCCCCAGAAGAACGTCACAATCCAAGAGTTCTCATTCAGATGCTGAAACACGTGGTATCTAAAGTTGCGACTGAAGAAGATGCATGGATCCGTATCAAAGTGGGCACAAATGATGACCACTTGGCATATACATACACAACGGATGGCTAATTGTTGACCAAAGAGAGAACTCGCTCAAAACCGACGGCGGATCCAGACCCTAAGAAACGATCGTCAGATGATTATGAATCGATCCCAAGATATACAGAGGCGACAAACAGAAAGGTCACCCTCAGACTTTTCGCTGGTAATGGAGAAGCTGTGGAAACCATAACTGCAGTGATAGTTGACCCAATAACAGGAGACCCGATTCCATATGCCCCATGGGATGTATCAGAAGAGAGCGCCCAAAATGCGAATCAGACAGCCGTTGAGCAGTTATGGGATCTGATACCTGAAAGTGACCGAACAGATGCCGTGGTTCAAGCGAGCACACTGATCAGCATGATGCGGCATCGAGCGGAGATCGATGGAGCACATTTCCGACTCACAAGACGAATGGAAGACGGATCGTACAAAACGGTATTTTACGACGCTAAGAAGAACCCTTTGTAGAGCCCTGCGCGAGCGCCGAGCCTCGGCTCGGCTCGCGAGCGCTCGGCGCTCACGAGCCGAATGAGCGAACTGTTGTCTTTATTGTCTGTTTTTCACGAGCCGAGCCGAGCCGAGTTGTTCGTCATTGACCAACGAGTGAGCCGAGCGAGCGGCCCTCAGGGACCGCGAGCGAGCTGAGCAATACATTTCGTGCTGCCCTTGAAAAACTGCACTACTCGGCAAAATCTGCCACATACTTGGTGACGCTACTAGTTCTACTCTGCAGTGACCAGTAGCGTCTGCGCTATTAGACGCGGCCTTGAACAATTTCTACGAAAAGTGCCCATTATTTTCACATCATCTCATTACGCCATTGCCGTTGGTCTGTATCCTCTGCTGGATTTACTCGTATGAATAAATTAATAATACACTATGGTTCTTCTGCCTGTCATAAAGTTTTGACTGTAGAGTATCTTATCGAAACCGATAAAATGATACATTCAGGATATGAAAATTATGAAAACTGACAATACTTGCAATATCCACATGATGACAAAATACCTGCAGCTGGCTGCGCTGCCTGATACTATCTGTATTAGTACTTTATCTGACTGAAAATTTAAACATTAAAATGCATAATTTTTTATTAAGTTGCTTTCGAGTTAACTGAGCAGAAAAACCGATTTGGTTTACGAGCCGAGCGATCTGAGCAGTGAGACATGCCGAAACGAGCCGAGCGAGCGAGCAAGCGAAATGGCACGAGCGAGCTGAAGATGATTTTGCGAAAGTTAAACTACCACGAGCGAGCGTGAAGCAATCATTTAGCGCTCGCGCAGGGCTCTAACCCTTTGTGGGAGGTCGCCTCACAGGGACAGCTGAAAGACAGCGACAGAACCCATCCCCCCGGCACAAGAAGGCGGAGCCGGAGAGACGGAAGAGGCGCAGGGCACGTCGGCAAATGTAACTGAAACAGGAGGGGCCAGACGTTCGCTACAAAGAGTATTCGAGATTGCCCAAGGAAGTCATGAGCACCTTCAGTGTGATGAACCAAACTGTGCCCATTGTAATCCACCTGGTGACGATGAACCAGAGTCGGAAGATGAGGACTCAGCTGAGGAAGAAGAAGGCTCAGACGAAGAAACGGCCGACAAGCATAAAAAGCCCTCAAAAGTAAAGCCCTCAAAAGTCAAACCGAGGAAAGCGCTTAAATTGGAAGAAGCTATGAACCGTGAAAAGGTTAAGAAAGGTGACTTTCTCAAAAAACGAAGGGAAGAAGAAGAGAAGAAGAAACGACAGGAGGAAGAAGATAAGAAGAAAAAAAGCGGTGATGAAAGCGATAGCACAAGCACCGGGAAGAAGAAAAGAGAAGGATCAAAGAAAAGAGATGAACCAGCGTCTCATGATGTTGAGATATTGGACGAATCAGTCGGCGAAGTTGAAGAAAGGTCATCGACACCTACGAATTAAAGAAAGTTATTCAATCGGCTACAGCAGAGCCGTTAAAAACCAAAGGAAAGGTCATAGCGGTGAAAAAAGTCGTCCCCATCGTCATCTCCGCATCCACGCCAAAAGAGCGCAAGGACAAACAGATTCGCGAAAAAGCGAAACGGGAGACGTCGCGTGAATCGGAGGCATCGGAAGTGAGCCTTCCAAGCACTTCGACGGTTAGTGCGAGGTCACATACGGATTCGAAAACGACACGATCAAGGACTACTGAACCAAGAAGCTTAGCGGACGCACTAGATAAAGGGCAAAAAGCAAAGAGCAAACCCGTTAAGACAAAAGGAAAGGTCAAGACAGCCATAAAGGTCGACGCAATGGCAATGATCAATTACACTGAACCAGATGGAGAGAGTGAACTGGATTTCACCTCAGATGAAGAATTCGATGGTTCAGGCGACGACAATTTGACCACGGTCGAGGAAATCATCAACGCGTATAACGGAGCTGAGAAAAATTTCACACGAATAAGAACAGCATCGGTGACATCGAAATTCAAAGCGGGCCTGAAGACTTATTTGAAGAAACAGTGTCGCAGCTCACTAAACGAAAGTTCGACGTTGTATTGGAATTCGCACGGAGTGCAGGGAAACTTATCCAGAAGCACCCAAACTTTTCGTATAAGGCCAAGCTGTTCAGACCTGCCAGTTCGGACAAAGCGCTGACTACTCCGAATGAAGCGGTCCCAATGCGAGTAGAAAGGGCAATCGCAGGAATGACAAGTCCGTTAGGATCAACAAGCCATCGGATTAGCCAATATATTAACGCAGTTTGGAATGATGGGAACGGGATGATAAAGGAGATCGACACGGCAACCGAACGCGTACTGCCAAAGCTGATTAAACAGAATGTCCTTGCTACAACAAACGCAAATAAAGGACATCCAATCCGATACACGAGAGTTGGTTTGATACCACCGGAAAGACAGATCCACTGTCATATGTCTGACAGCCAGGATATGGAAAAGGTTACAGTTCCATTGAGCGGAGACCCGTCAACTCCGATATTGAATCAGATTGCACAGAAAACGGCTGAAGAAGAAGCGGCGAGGCTGAAATCACAAGCCCCGAAAATGTCGAGGAAAAAAGGACCAATGGACTCGGAATCGGGAAGTGATGACGATACTACAATAACGGCTCCTTCTGGACCTGCGACAGAAAAAGACGAACAGTCGAAAGGTCAAGAGACATCTGGAACTACCGCAGAAGATCAACCGAAAGGTCATGAGACTTCAGATAAACGGGAGAAAGAAAAGGTCATGCTCCCGATGGACAAAGCAGCGGCAGAAGCAGAAGCGGCCTCCGCGCGCCAGGTGTTTCAGAAATCATTGTTCATACCACTAAAGGAAGTCTTCGAGAAAGAGCGATCGAAGTCAGCAGGTGAAGTGGGAGGTCATGAGACTTTGCCACAAGAGGAAAAGAAGACAGCAGAACCAAAATCAGCGGGGTCATCATCAGGATCATTGGCAAAGCTGAGGATTGACGAAACAGCGACAACTGACCCAACGGATTCGGCATCCTCCCAGAAGAGTAGCGGTACGCCAAGAAAGGAGGCTACAGATTACACGCTAGGACCAGCATTGGACGTGAACAATCGTACATGGAACGAAGTCCAGGCTGCGCTCCAGATCATTCGAGAAAAAGAAATGCTCGGTACAGACTTGAAAAGACAAGTGGCAATAAATACGAACGGAAGGTCGTCACTCAACATGACTGAACGAGCCCTGAAACGAGCATATAAGGAAGGAAAGTTGGGATGTAAATACAACAAGGACAACAAAGTCGTCTACTACCTTCCGAAACAGGGTCAGGAACGAACGCCCAGACTGAAAATGGAACTGGAGGCCTGGAAGATAGCCATCACAGACGTGGCTTTGGACGCCATTGGCGGTACCAATGGAGCGTCATGGAATGACCTTTCGAACTTCATGGCCGTCAATTATGAATTGGGAGAGTTGAATATTGAAAGTGATAAAGAGTGGATTAAGAACGCCGTCGAAGCCTTGATCGCAGACGAAGTGCTTCATATTAAACCAGATGGTCGAATCGACTTTAAGCCGTACAAACCACCGGCGAAGGAATCCGAGTAAACGGGACGAGTGTAATATGCAGCGAGTAATGAACCCTGCATATTACAGAAAAAGCATAAACAGTACAAAACGAAAGAGAAAGTGTTACGGGAAGGGAACGGGAAGAGTTTAACTTGAACAGTGATAAGACTAATAGAAAAGGTCACAGTAGCCAGAGAGTGCTGATAACGTGAGAAAGGTCACCACGTTACAGTGATAGAAAAGCCAGCAGGAGCTAGGAAAGTCTCAGCTCAGTAACGGAATAGGCGTAAAAATGATAGAAAGCCTTGATAACGGATAGAAATGGGAAAGATTAACGTGGAAAGGTTATTATGATGGACTGTTTTATAATTGCAGATTGAAGCGGAAAAATGGCACAGAAAGGTCAAGCCACTTCCAAACGTTCAGGAACAACGTCAGAAATTGATCGGTCTACGGGCTATAATCCAAAGTGTCCGGACTGCTTACGGAATAACAAAAAGGTTGATAAGAAATTCCCTTGCTACACTTGTATTCACAAGCTGGAAGACCCACATGTCGTTACGCTTGTTGGGATTATGGAAGCCAAACGTGGGAACTTGGATGTCTTTCGAAATCTCATAAGCGCAAGGAATTACGGCAGCATCCCAGTAGAAGAGCGAATGCTATTCGAAGATCGTTATCGAGAAGCGATCCGGAATAATGAACCCGGCTGGGATGATACCCTGGAGCCGTTGAAGTGTCCACAAACAGACGCGTATCGAAAGAAGTTTGAAGAAGATCAAGAGAAGATGCGAGTTCAGCAAATGGAGGATGAAATCCGCGCGAAAATTAATGCGGAAAACAAGAGAGCAAGTGAACAGGCTGCACGAGAGACGCTGCCCAGCACATCGAGTTCAGCCGTACCCACAGCCAGCCTAAACGAAGAGGAAGTGCAGCTGACACGTCGATCCCTCATCATCCAAATCGAAACGTTAATGAAAGATCCAGCCGCTATGCCAGACGAGTTATTAAAAGTGCTGTTGCGGGAGAAAAAACGACTGCAAGACGGGTTTGCACCTGCACCGTACATCAAGAAGGAAGTCGAAAGACGTATGAACGATTTACGTAAATCTTGCCAAACTGAAAGTGACGTGCTCCAAGCACTCAGAGGTTTTAAACGGGATGAAGGTTTTATCCGACCTCGATCACCTCCGCATAGAGAAAGGTCACGCGGACATTCACGTGAACATGAACGGACTTCTGAAAGACGGAGTGAAAGGTCACGTGAACACTCTCGTGAAAGGACACGTGAGTACCGTACTGAAAGGTCACGCGAACGCTCCCGCGACCGAGATTACCGTGGCGGAAGAGGATGGGTGCGCCACGGAGATGAAATAACTGAAATGACCATACAGCGGAAGATTGATACAGCCAAGATTCTGGCAGCTACAAGGGAACGAGAAGAAAAACGGCGTGCGGAGACATTCCGTACGGAACCTGAAAAGCAAGGGCATCAGGTGCCGATGGGAGTTGCATTCCGTAACCGCAATGTCAGAATGTCAACACCTGAAAGGTCATGGGATAAAAGACGCGAACATACGCGAAACCGAACACCAGACCCACACGATAAGAGATGGCAAGAACGAACCAAGTATTATGCGAGTTTTGAATCTGGCGCGAGTAAAAGGTCATCGAGCGCGGAAAGGGAAGATTCACCCCCAAAGTATCAGCGGGTGGAGTCAATGGTTCATGTAGTGGATCCAATTGTGAGTGTCGTACAAGAAGATGACTTGATGGAAGGGACCAGCTCGATTGCGGAAACGTCTCAAGAAAACGTGACCCATCGACGAAATGTGATTCTGGATAGTGACCTTCAACCGGCTACACCGGCGAGTAACGAACCGTCGCAGCCCGAATCAGGAGATCGACGTGAATCAGAAGGTCATCGTGAACCGGATAATCGTCGCCAGGCTGAACAGCGACAGAACTCCAGATTCAATAACCGACAACCGGATATCATCGATATGGAATATAATATGAATGATATTGACGAGCAAACAGTTGAAATTTGTCGATACTTCGGAATAGAGTCGGATTCGGCCGAAGCTAACAAGATTGGTACGATACTGAATCAGCTGCGCCAATTCTTACTTGACTCAGGATATGCGAGAGAGATTAAACAGGGAGTGGAAGAAGGAAAATTCCATCGACTATACATCCCTCGCGACTCTGCGCGAGATTGTTATCTCCCTATCCGACGGAATGGGCTACACAGTTTAGTGGATTTGAGTCTATTGGATGTGCCGCTGGATACGACTGACCCAATTGGGATGACACAATTTTATTACACAGATTATCCCGAGCGACAAGAATATGTGGCTCAGTACGTTTTACGACATGTGAACCCAGCCTTCAAGTTGCTTGCAGCAAGAGCATCGATAGGACTACAGGTGGATCCTAAGGACTATGCCGCAAAAAGGATGGGGCAAAAGGTCTTTGCCGCGAGACTGGCACATTACAAGACACAGAATCAATTGGTGTCTAATACTATGAAGGACGACATTCCACCGTTCTTCCGAGCTCATGTCGCTAAATTGGGACAACCGATGGAACATATCAGCATAGCGCACACAGCTCGAAAGGCGCTGAAAAAGTGTAAGACACGAATGGAAAAGGGCAACTTGATACAGCGCCATGCCTCCCAAGTTGAAGAAAGGGTCAACAAGATCAAAGATTCCCTGGGAAGTGACTACGTCGAACCAGTAGACGGAGTTGAAACGTACATCGATGAATTCCTGGTGAAGAAAAGCGACCGACGCCCGGAACGCGCCCCTAATCAGATGGGACGACGCGGTATACGGAACCAGCAGCTTCGGGATAATCTCGCTGATGTGCAACGTCGATTGGCCAATGACCCTAATAACCGAAAATTACGACTGGAAGAAAATGACGCGCGTCATCGACTTGAGGCGGTCAAGCGGAGCCGTCAAGGAAAAGGTCGTGGCCAGCGAGAAGTTGACCCGTCAAAGGTCATGGAAGTTGATTCAACTGAACCGGTCGATCGAACATCTGACCGTAATCAACCCGAAAGTGCTAAGAAGCGCCCGCCAAGAGATGGCGAGGGCGATTCAAATGAAATGGAATAGTGTTGACCTTAGGGGAATAGTGTTGACCTTTAGGATCACACTATTAAAAAGACGTCTACGGCACTTTGTCGGTACGTCACAGAGATGAAAAAATGGTGTTGTATAAAGGGCGTGACACGTGACATGTTAACAATAATTGTATTTGTGTATTTGTTGTTTGCAGCATTTATAGCACAGAATTGCCTAAAGAAATCATGTGGAATACTATTGGGTTGAAATTGATTCGGTCTATAAAGCCGGCCCCAAGGGAGTTGCTACGGCAGTTAGCCGGCCCTCCTCTCTAAGCGACTCAGTGTCATAAATGCACAAGAGAAAGCAACGGTAATCAAGCCGGATCTCTTGAAGACGAAAGTGGGCCACAAGCGGCGAAAAGGAGAAAGACAACAGGTGGAATTTGATGAGGTTAACTTAATGCGGCAACCAGCCGGCCTCATTAGAGTTGTTACGGTAAACTGTGCCGGCACTCTTTTTAAGCGATTCAGTGTCCAAATTAAAACGAGAAAAACTACGGTAACCAAGCCGGATTTCTCGTAGTAATGTTAGCCACAAGCGGCGAACAAGAGTAAAAGATTAAAATGTGGAAATTTCATGGGGTGAACTTAATGCGGTAACTAGCCGGCCCCATCAGAGATGTTACGGTAAACTTGCCGGCACTCTGGCCGCTCGAGGCATACTGAAGTTGGATGTGCGACGGAAAGGTCAAACTGCAAGTTTTACCAGGGAGGCAAGCGAAGAAGTGCTTGAAGGCCGCAGAAAATTGGCTAAGTTCCTCCATGACCTATAATGGAAATTTGAAGAGAAGTCGCATGACCTTTGGGACCATTAACCCAAAATGAGTCGCACATCTCAACGGATCATCTCAACAAAGGATGACCTTTACCAGGGAGGAAGCGAACTACGCTTGTCTTAAAGACGTCCCTCCATGACCTTTATGGATCTCATTTGAAGTCGTACAATTGATACGCACCTTATTCCAAAGATGAAGCAGTATTCCTAAGTCGTACTTGATACGCACCTGATTCTCAAGCGGATTGTGATGAAGTCGCATTACGGATGCGCAGGCTCAACGGAGCGGAATGGATTAAAAGTGCGGAAAACGGTGGACGGGACCTGTGACCTTTGCGAGTCAGAAATGGAGGATCCTAGTCTACAATTTGATTAATACTTTTGTTGATCTGTTACTGTTGATCTGTTCCTAATGATTTGATAGTATTTTTATAATTGGATCTCTTTATTCCACATTGTATTAAATGGAATTGTGCCTTTACGGAATTGATGTGATAAAATGGAATAAGAGAATTTGATGTTTTTGAGCACGCACAGACACTGGCGACCGTCGTCTTCTCGTGGATTCGGGAGTGTGTCCAGCCTTACAGGAGCTCGGCATCCCCCCAGAGGCATGTGAGACCAGGATCACTAGCGTTCACGTCAGTGGCGCTACGCCTGTGGCGCTACGCCTTAGGATTACGTGTCTGTGTTGTGTCTCTTCTGATTGGCTTGCGTTTTGATAGTGGGCGCGGCATAGCACGTGCTGCACGGTGTTGCACACTGTTGAACGGGCTCTACGTTTTACGATCGAGCTGTGCCGATCACTTGTTGATTTCTGTTGCACAGACTTTCAATATTATTAAAAGTCAGCGATTTACGGTGCGACGTTTGTGTTTCCGCATAGCTCGCGATCCATATCGTATCGCTCGCTTCCACGGGATAGATTCCGTTTCTGTCTCCGTATCTGGATCACAGTTGGATCTAGCATTAGACTGGCCAACCAGTAACTGCACAGAGAAATTCCCAGCACGCTTAAACAAAATTTACACTGCGCAACGCATGCTTAAACGCACCAACTGATCGAACACTAAAAATATCAAAAGAATTAGAATCCACGAAAAATTTCCACATTTTATTAAGCTTCCAAGCCAAGGTTGCTTCGCCGACTTTTTTCTTTGCTTTCGCCTTGATTATGGTCCGGTTCCCTTTTCGAAGATTGTACGGTTTCATGGTGATCGTCATGACATACATCCTCGCAGGTTCAGTGCATTGGTTGGCGGCTCCAGTATTGCGCGTTAAACGGATTGTTAAGGAGGAGCTTTAAACAGGATTTAATTGTATGGTTCATTCTCCTTACGGTGTTTGGTGAGCCCGCTTGAGTTCTGACAGATTCTCAAGGGACAATGATAACGGTTCTGCTCTTATCTGGTCTAAGCCACTAACACTAAAATTATATCCCTTCCCTAAAACTTGAGCTTTCGTTCACTCTACAGGCCTGATCGACGGTCAGTACAGGTCTGTATGTTTCCTGTAACTCAGTACGTCTGGTTAGTGGAGTTATTAATTTTAAACTTAACTTAACTTGTTGCTTGCATATGTAATGGAATAATAGCCATAATCATACATTTAGCTTATACACAGCAGTTAACATCACAACGCAGTACACTCAATCAGCAGAAAACAGCCTCGGGAGGTCTAAGAACAGAGAACAACTGATCTAAATTTGCTCCCGGTGGAGCTGTTCCTGAACGGAGGCCGCGTTCCCGCGCTGGATTTCTATGCTGATACGCTGGCGCAGGTATTCCGGTGCTCTTGCCTCGCCAGTTTCTTGCCGTACCCTTCTACCCACTTCCGTCAGCAGACGGGAAGCTTCCGGTCCGTTTGGTCCTAGCGTTTCAAAGCCCAGAGCGCTGAACAGGTAGTCCGGGGTGATGTTCTGGTACTTGGTTACCTTATCCTGTTCAGCCTTTGCCGCCGCTGCACCAGCTCGCTCGGATGTTGCCACGATATGCGATAATGCCACCGTACAGACGCAGGTGACATCCCACGTCAGCATTCTTCCTCTTTCCCACGGTGCTAGTGGATAGTGTAACCTTTGTGCGGTTCTGTTCATTCGGCAGCTCAAGAACTTTGTTAGCCTCGAACAGTGGGTACTGGGCAAGGGTTCCGTTGGGTTCCGTTCTCATATGCCGCTCTGGTTAGTGAGTTTTTCATTGCATAGGAAAACTCACGGTCAGTTAACTTTCGCTTGCAAACTATGGTTAGACACTGCCTGTTTTCTCACTACCACCGAGTGGACGAAGTCCTTCTACCTAATATGTAAAGGAATGTATGCAGGTAAATAGGAATACGTTAGCAAACTTTCGCTTTCGCACCCTCAAACACTTTTTCCGTTTCATAGCATTCACGTAATTCTATCCTTATGCATTATTCTTATCCCAAATTTATAAGGAGAGTATACCATTAAGATCGTTACCGAACCAGACAACGTCTTTGGTATTTAAGTTATTTTTAAATTTTCTGTTTATTGTAGATCTAAGTTTTTTGTAATGTATAAGAACAATGTATAAGAACGCGAAAAAGCTAAAACGTTCCAGTGCAAACGCGCTTTCCGGTTCCAAAACCAAAAGAAAATTTCTTCGCCTTAGAGCGTTTTGTTGAAACGTGACAAAGCTGAAAAATTTTTCGAAGTTTATTTGAAAAAATTACAGTTTTTTTTATTACACTACATACTCTGCGTTTGAATATTAGCTGCTCCACGCAACAGTGTTTATGCAAAAGGTTTTCAAGGTCACCTTGAACTGATGCCTGTACCGGTACCGGCATCCGAGCGATGGTCCAGGGCAGATATTTTTGAAAACAAAATGCATGTGGGACCCTTTTGGGACATGCTGAGTTTAATGGCGAAATCGGTTTTTTAATTTGCTTAGCGGTTTTTTCTAGCCAAGTTCCACGGGGCGGCCGATCATAATATAGATCTATTTCCTTGATAATATTAGTTCAGGATGGGTGCCTATAATAAACGGGGTGCGAAAAGGGGTGCCTATTATAAACGGGGGCTTTAAGGGGTGCCTATAACGGTTTCTTGTTATGAAATTAAAACCAGAAAAATTCCAAACTTAATTATGCGTTCACCTTTTCAGTGCCTCACAAACCGCTTAAATAAAAACGTACAATAAAAACCCGAGAAAAACATAGTACATGAAACAACTTAAGTTAATTTGGATTATTGGAATAAGAATACGGAAAAAATGACGCAGCATTTGTACCACAACGCCCCACACCCCCGAAATCCAGTAAAAAAGCAATCATATAGCCGTGACAGCCCATTTGGTAGCAGGGCATCTCGACGATTTCTTCGTAGCGGAAATTCGTTATGCGACAATTCGCTGCGCAGTCGTTTCGTCACGTGACATTGGGGTGCGGCACATTTGGGGGTCATGATTAGAGAATAATGAAATGGGCAACCAACGTTAGGTTCAATTTGCTGCAAAAGCAACTTGTCCTTAAAAGGAAATAACCGTATAACCGAACCTTCTGCCGCCAAGCGTTTGACGAATTGTCCCCACGACCAAATGTTAGGCCAAAACGTTTCCGCCCAGTATGTAAGGTTTTGCCGGCTGCACGATAATACGGATGCTTGTTATTGCAGCAGGCTAAACAAGTTGATTGTGTATGTCGCGATGACAGGTTTGCCGATACGTTATCAGGTAACAAAGCCATGGCACGGATAGTTGTCAATAAAACTTTTAGCTTCATTTCACGATTCTCATGGGTATAGCCATTAACCAGACACTTCTACAAATTTGATCTGATTGCTGTCAGTTGTCACTAATTTGTGATTCATCGTTGATTATTCCACACTTAAATACGATAAAATGCCTAATATTCAGACGACAACTGTCTGACTAATATTAAGGTTCGTTCTTCGGGTGTTCTGACTCCGGCCTTACCATTATCCCATCAGGACCGATCATAACATTCCAGCCGGCGTCTCGTTTTCCGAGTGTCATCCACAGGCATGTACATCTTCCCGGGAGGCGTTTGCGCATGGGACAGCGTGAATGTCCTAGCGGACGGCCTATTGCAGCAGGGCTACTGTCGCCATGTCCTGCCCGATGGTCTGCTGATTGACTTCCTGCTGCCGAATGCGGAGTTGGTATTCGTGGAATTTGGGAATATCTATGATTGTTCCGGGCGTGGATTGTGGCGCAAGGAGAACTGGACGTGGTTTTATTTCATGGAATTAGATCTCTTTCTGACGTACGTAACAGTATAGTTTATACGGCTTCTTTGGTGCTGGTAATTAATAAGGGATTTGGCCCGGTACATAGCATCAAATTTGTATACATCCACGGCAATTTTCGCTGTCGCGCACTCCCAAACACTTTTTTGCATTGCTTTATGATATTTTGTAGCCAAAGGATTCTTATGCATAGGCGAAAAAACTGTTTGTGCTCACAACATCCGGTTCGGGAGTTATTAGTAAAATAAAATTTCAAAAGTTTAAACGCGCGGAAGTGTACAGTACCAAAACTCTCATTATGAACCGATGCTCTTCAAATTTTGCACGAAAACACACATTACTATGAAGATCGTTTTGGTACCGAACCAGCTTTCTACCATTTTTTTCAAATTTTAAAATAAATTTCAAAAATTTTAAAAATTAATTTAAAATTTGAAAAAAGGTAGAAAGCTGGTTCGCGACCAAAACGATCTTCATAGTAATGTGCGTTTTCTTGCAAAATTTGAAGAGCATCGGTTCATAATGAGACTTGTGGTACACTTCCGCACGTTTAAACTTTTGGAATTTTATTTCACTAATAACTCCAGAACCGGATGTTGCGCGCACAAACGGTTTTTTCGCCTTTGTATATGAATCTTTTGGCTACAAAATATCATAAAACAATGCAAAAAAGTGTTTGGGAGTGCGCGACAGCGAAAGTTCCCGTGTATGTACCCGAATTTGTTACCATGTACCGGGCCAAATCCCTTAAAGCTGGTATTTTTTAAGCGCAGCGTTCTTCATAGAAAGTAAATTGTGTCGACTATGCTCGAAGGGGTTTTTCGTTAATAATGGTTACAACAATACGCCTAAGATAATCCAGTGACCTCCACAAATATTATATGCCTTAACCAGGTCTTTTTGCCACCTTAACCTTGACACCTTTTTGACAAGGATAGTTTAATTAATCAGGTCTTTTGGACACATCTTCCCGGAAACCGTCCGAATTCAGAATTTGCAAAAACTTTGAGTGGGTTAAATTTGCGGCAGAAGTTTGTTCGACTGGTGCCTGGTTTTGTTGGCCTGCAGGCAATCGCGTGTAGAGAATGGCTGACTCGTCCGGACGGTTTTTCCGTACAAGTGTACTGTGTATGCTAGTACTTAAAAGTTAATGTGTTGAGTGCGGCTCACAAACCAGCTCATTGGTTTATGGTGAAGAAAATGTCTCAATTGAACTGAATGACCCCCGGGCGTGGGCTTTGCATACTGTAAGTTTGTAAGTATCGTCACGGAGCGTACCATTACGGGTTGCCGAACAACATTACAGAGCGCTGATTATCTATCACACTAAATTCTATGTGATAGGCCGCTAATCCCCGAGAACCCGTCTATCCAGGCGTTAATGCGATTTCATCCCGGTCGTCCCTGGATCTGGTATCCCGCCCGACTCTTAACGTGCGCTTTCTGTATCGGACGGTATTTCCACTACGTTGTCGTGGAGGTTACTGTGGACGGGCAAACGATTCGGGCAGTGCTACCGCCCAGCCAGATCCGCTATACACCGTCGGCCGAGGAAATGACCCGGCGACGCCTGAACCGCAGTCATTTCATCGTTCGCGAAGCCAGTTTGCCGCTGCATAACAGTGCAGCGGTCGATCAGCAGTGCGTTGATTGGTTGATTGACCGCTTGCTAGTCCACGAATTTCGCATCATGTCGACAACGGGCGGACGGCTGGTTTATTTTACGCGGGAGAACGGTAAACCTCTGCACGACAACCTAATTGTAAGCGACAGGAAGTCAGGAAAATTTATTATTGATGAATGCACTTTTAACCCAATATTATGCAATTTGATTTTGTTATTATTGTATTTGAACTGATATACAGTGGACTTCATAAATGTGGTTACATATAGCCAACCGTATGCATAGCGCTATCGGCTTTAAGTGTAACCACATTTATGAAGTCCATTGTAATTATGAACTAAATTTATTATAACAAGTTCATCCGTTAGTTTGGAAATGGTCTGTCACTCTTGTGCTTGTTTGGAACCTAACGCTTACGCCTTATCACGGCAGATAATGTTGCAGATAATGTTTGCGGAAGCTGTGAAAGACAATCTGCAAAACGGAGATAAAGAAGAGAAAGAAGCAACCTGCAACATTCCGCCCAAGCTTCCCAAGAAACCATTGGAGCAGATGGATGGAAACTGCGAGCGAGGTATTCCGTTGCCTGTTGAGCTCATGGCGGTGGTCTTCCAGTGCCTGGACACTATCGGTCGGCAGCGTTGCCGTCGCACGTGTTTCTTGTGGAACTCCATTCTGACTTCGCGACCCCTTTGTAAGGATCTCTTAATATCAGCGGATCCACACTGCCATTATGATATCCTCAACTGTCTATTGAAGTACTTTGTACCCGGCACCGAATGCATTGCGATCCAGAACGCGAAACCCGGATGGGCACCGTACGGGTACGACCCAGTCCTCATGCTCATTGGTGACGACAGCATCAAGCTCCCGCCCATCAAGCAGGTACTCTTCCATCGCTGTGTATTCGGTGAGATAGCCATGCGGGCGCTCCTGCCTGTGACGCATACTGTCCATGCATCGGTGGAGAAGCGAATAGGGAGCATTGTTTGGAAAAACTGTTCCTTTGTGAGTTCTCCTGACTCGGTAGTGTTGGCGCGTATTCCGTACGCCGTTATCGATCCAAATTCGGTTGCTCTGCAAGATCTATGGAACCTAGTGGAGCGTAACCTGATCTGGAGGAAACACCAGGATTTTGATCGCCTTGCCGCTGTGATTTGGGACTGCGTAGAGAAGGAGCCGTACAAAGTGGGCTTCCTTAAGTCGGTAAGGCAGGAAATGAGATTATTTCACTTCCGCTTAATATTAACACGTGAAGCGTTTATGGTCGCTTTTATTATTAGTTTTAAGCTTGACCAAATAATTCGCGGCCCATACCTGTATTGAGAGCTATTAGACACATTGCGCACGTATATCAGCGTACGGTTGATACGTCACGCGACGGATAGTACTTGTATTCATTAGCCAATCGATGTATTGAAATATACAGTCTATCAATAATGTGGCTATTTTTCTTATAGTGTGGTAATTGGGATAATTTGGAAAATATTGGTTAAATCAGGCGTGCGCTGGAAAGCGGACCGAATTGGTTACATCAAAATAACTGGTTGTCGTTGTTCGGGAAATTTAATATTTATCAAGCCTAACAGCGGTAAAGAGTCTAGGTGAGTAAGACTGTAACGGTATGATTCCTGTTTCGGGTCCAGAAGATCTCGGGTTCAATTCCGACGTTTTTGTCGTTTTTCTTGCTGTATTATTCACCATTACTTTCTTTTTTATTTAAATTGTTTTTTCCATGATCGCTGCACATAGAAGACCTTCGCTACGCTTCGGTCGACTATTATTTTATATAGAAATTATTGTTTTTTATAATAAAATTTTCACATTTTGCTAAAATAGTGTTTCTGTAGCATTATCGATATGCAGCCATGTTTCGATGAACTACATCGATTACTGTACTGGATAACTGAAGTACGATTTCTTGATTTTTTGGCATTTTGCAGCAGGTTGGCTGTGGGAATTTATGGGACCAACTCCGCGGGAGCCTGTCTATGGGACGCCTCCGACTCACGCGCCAACATGATCGTCTCCGATGTTGACACGCAAGTGCAGCAGATCATGGAGATCCGCCACGAGCTGCCGCATCTCAGATCCATCATTCAGTACCTGGGTAGTTGTTTTTTCCCTGTATGCTATCAGTGGCAGTTACCACGCTGGCTGATATCGACAGAGGACTAATATCCAGTCGCTTAGTGAGCTTTGTAATCTGGCGGGCACGGGTCCACCCCCTGCGTTTGCGCTGTGATTGAAAGGCTATCCACATCAACATTTGGCTCATGGCACTAGAAAAGGTCAATTCATGTGCACTACAGTTCGCTAATGGCGCTACTACATTCATTTGACCACCGGATTCACACACTGCAGAACGCTAACGATACTACATACGTGATTCAACCATCATTTATAGCGGAAACGTTTACACAGTACATCCCGTACATTAAGTACAACAGGTACATAAAGGGCAATATAGCATTAATACAATAAATACATTGATACATTAATACACTTGTACGTTAATACATTCGTACATTTGTTTTTGTACATTAATACACTTGTACATTAATACATTTGTACATTAAGTACAATAGGTACATAAAGGGCAAGCGGGTACTTATCAATTTATGACACTGACTTGCGCACAAATTGACTAAATCAAAATAACTGGTTGTTGTTGGCAAACTTTTCTATTGATAAGGCTACCAGCGAAAAGTAGTCTAGGGGTATGATTTCTTTTCGGGTAGAGGAGGTCCCGATTTCCATTCCCGGCTGTTCCCTCTTTTTTGCCCTTTTGATGCTATATTTTTACCCGTGGATTTTTCATATTTTTTTGTTTATCTTGTCACGCCCCGCCGAGCTCACAGTGTAAGAATTTGTTTACGGAAAAATCAAAATAACCACTGTACTGCTCTCTGCGAACCCATACATCCCGTTCAATCAAAGATATCAGTTTTTATGCGTACAAACTGCAGTGTATTTTGTACAGATTTGTTCGACAAAGTCCCAGGCCTAATCATAGAATTATTGTTGTATACAGGATGTCCAAGCGTAAGAATATTTTATTAAAAATCGTGTCTATCCGCATTTACCATCTCTTTGCTGTTGAACAGAACCATAATTATCGTACGAGCATACTAATTCCCGCAATACTTTTTCAGCTCGGGTCCTCTGGAAAATAATGTGTACGCCGATGCCTTTGGTGCTCCTGCTGCCGTTCATGGCAGCAGGATGCTCGCCATTCCTTTCTCGTAAGTGCAGATACGCAGTACACGAAAAGCAAAATTAATTTTATTGAATTTAGTTATGTGGTTTTCGTGATTTAGAAGTTAAGGGTAACCATCTCCGTTCACTGCTCCTGTTCTGGCAAATATGAGGGTGTCGCGCCAAGTTGGGGCAGTTGCGTAAAAATAAATACATTACGAATTATTCGCGTGCGCCAGTTTGTTTTTGTTTTTTTCTTCACTTTTTTAGTATAACTTTTAGTTGCAATTGCAACAGTGTTGGAACTGTAATCGTTTGACATGGTAACGAGCCATATATTAGGGGTTTGGGGTGATGACGAGTTTTGGAGGCCTATAACTGGACCTGTTAAAATTGCGCCAGCAAATATTCATGCGCGAACCCTTTCCAAAACTGTTGAGTGACGTAGAACTGGAAGGGTGTCTTTTAGGGATTAACATAGAGGACTCTATCAGCGCTCGAGGTGACCTCACAACAAGGTGCACCTGACACAGGACTGTATCATAAAAACGTTTCAAAAGGGGAATGCGGTTGCCTAGAACGCTGATCCCATTGGGCATGATTTAGGTGCTTAAGCGGAATGTGGGAAGAACCATCAGAAAACCAAGGTACCACTTCATAGTTTTCAACCTCCTCCAGCTTTTAAATTTCCGCCGAAAAAAAACATGATTATGTTTTATTAAGTAGTGCGATTTTTGAAAAAAGACTTAAAATGAAAATTCAGTCCCTGTGCGGCTGTGCCTGTGCTGCTTTCTGCAAAGAAACAAAATCACCAAAGGTGGTACACAACAAGAGCTATCATGCAAAAAATTTTTAAAAAAACTTTTAGACTTAATTGGTAGAAGCAGACGAATTTTTGGAACTGCCAGAAATGGCAGGACAGTGCTGTTTTTCAAACAGAAGTTTGCCAAAATAATTTTGGAGACCCCAGCCTAATTTTTGAATTAGGTAATCACTTATTTAATTTCAGCGGAGTCCCAAATGGATAAAACTGTCAAATTATAGAAAAACGTTTTAGAAAATTCCGAGTAACTGTTTTCAGTTTTCGAAAAACTGCCCTGATACGCCAAGTTTGTGCAAGTTTTCGCAAATAAACCACAGGCCGTCCATCAAAAAATAATTAGCTCGCACCATTTTTATATGATTACCGTATGTGATCCCCGTCGTCTGCGCTGGGGGTGTCCACGTCGAGAGCGCGCTTCGATTCAGAACGAAACAAAAACCAGAACTGACCCGTTTCAAATTCGGCTGGACCCGGACCCATCATCAGCGCCGGGAACGCTTCTCCCATAACAACTGATTCAAGAATTTTGTTGACGCTCTTATGTATACAAAAAAGATGAGTCTAATCGGAAATGTTTGCCTTTCACAGTTTTTGTAGAATGTACCCAGGGCACATAGCGTCGCGCCAAATTCAGAAAAATCTCATTTTCTGTACAAAGGTCTGCCGCAAACGCCAACGCGTAAAATTAAATGCACAATCTCGACCGACACAATATGTACCGACGTACTATATTCTTAAGTATGGATGTACAGATACAAAGGACGTACCAAAAGTAAGTTTCCCTATTTTTTCTATCTTGTCCCACGGATTCTTTCAACTTTTCTTTTCCACGAATTTACTTATACTATTTATCGACTAGTCATCAGAAAATTTAATTTAGGTGTGCTCGATAAGGTTGAGGAGATTCCCCGAAAAGACTGTTGTACACTCAGTTTCTGCATGCTAGCCTCTCCTGTGGTCTTCTCGCAGCATTATTGTGTTGTTGTCAATTTCCCCGAGAACCGCAATCCGATTTTATGTTTCGAATTCTTTTCTCTTGCACCACAAATTCAGAAAGGAAAAAGTAAACCTCTAACGGTTTTTGAAAAAAAATTTTAAAAACTGGTCTCGACCGGATGCCGAAATAAAAAAATTTGTCATCCACTGCCTGGCGAAAATTTAACTCTGAACCAAGGCGCATTGGAGTCATCCAGAAAGACACTTTTTATTTTTGAAAACAATCGGAAGTTTGAAGAGATAGGAAAGTTAAAAATGAGAAAATTTGCGTTGTACCAAAAAACTTGATAATTTTTTTTCAGTGAAGGTTTCGAAACGTTTTCAAATCCGGATAAAAATAAAAAATATAAAAATACGGTTATTATTACCTATCAATATCGCAAATCATAGTCAGTTAAAACTGTTGAGGAAGAGTAAAGTGGCATTACAAGAACTAATTTTTTGGAGAGCACAGTGGTGAGGCTGCCCGAACCAGCACCGGCTAGAAGATTTTCCGTCTGGCGTCTGGACAGTTCTTCGTCGACAGTTGAAATTCTTTTTTTTCTCGATAGGTTAGAGAATAAATTACGTAACAAAAATTATATCGTTGATGTGTCGTTTCAAATGGAAACCTGGCAAAATAGGGAAACCTACTTTTGGTTGGCCCTTTGTACTTAACTACAGTATATACGACAGAACCAGCTTGATTGAGATGATTTGTTTGGTCGCTCTGACGCATTTTTTAAAAAAAACGAACACTGTATGGCCGCGTTTTAGAACAAGGGTTTTCTGAAGAGAGCAGTGGTTTTTGGTGATTTTGCCTGGGATACCGGCACTGGTGTATGAAATTTCTTTGGTAAGCGGTAAAAAAGATCTAGAACTTGATAAATATTTTAAGTATGGTATATATAAACCTTTGGTAGTGCACCGAGTGAACGGTAGCGTGGATTGGTAATATACCGAGTGAATGGGACCGGAGTGTCAAAGGTAGAAGAAAACTACATCAGTATGCTTAAAAAATAATTTCATCTGCAAAGCTTAAGGGATTTGGGCCGGTACATAGTACTAAATTCATCTACATTGACGGGATTATTCGCTCTCGCGCACTTCCAAACACTTTTTTGAATTGCTTTTTGACATTCTATAGTCAGATGATTTGTATACACTGGCTTGAAAACCGTTTGTGCGCGCAACATCTGGTTCGGGAGTTATGGCTGTTAGAAAATTCTAAAAGGTTTAAATGCATTCCGGTGTATACGTAAGTACTAAAAGTCTCATTATGGACTGATCTCCTTCAAATTTTGCACATAAATACACATGAGTATGACGATCGTTTTTACACCGATCCAGACTTTCTTGATTTTTTTCAGATTTTAAAATGAATTTTAAAATTTTTGAAATTCATTTTAAAATTTAAAAACATGCTAGAAACGTGGATCGGTGTAAAAACTTAAAGTACTCTGTAAAGGGTACATCCTGTTTAATCGTATGAGAAAAAAAACCATAAGAAAACCGATTTGTGGAAAAGGTTATTTCGGGTGTTTCACTTAAACGACCATACGCCATACGGGTAGCCCTCAGGCAGTGTTATTCGCTGCTGCCCAGGATCACGCACGCCAACGAGGTGTTCGCCCACGAACCAGCGCCGTTGAACATGACCACCACCAAAGGCCAGGATTGCGCGTGCAGCATCCGACGGTCCCCGGCCTCCTGCTGGATGATATTTACATGAAAATTCAGAAATACGTCATGTGACGGCATAACAGGCGCACCCTTAGAGGACTCGTACGAAGGCGCCGCACGGCGCTTTATTGTCCACCATGCCCACTGCCGGACTCCCGCTCTCCTAATAAGTCCCGGCGCAGAATAGCGTAATATATATATGAGTATCCAGGCCCCAGTGCTGGTAGATAGACCAACCCCACGGGCAGCCCGGGCCGCGGTCTTTCCCCCGGCTGGGCACTGCATACGGTACCGGCCGGTCAATTATCCAGCAGCGTGAGTGAGTTTGTCCGTTCAGCGGACTTTGGTGCACTGTTTACACCAACATCTGGAGTAGCACCACCACCACCACAATTTGTCAGAAAGCACCTGATCAGACGATAGTACATAAACAGAAACAACGTGCTTCTGCCAAAAATTGTCCATTAACGAAGTGTGTAGCATTTGTTATAATATATGGAACGCCCGGTGCCGGTTAGTTGACTGCTGCATCTTAGTAACGGTTAACCAATAAATTAATACACTGCATCGTGGCCATTCTCTGGATTATCTCGATAATATTATAACCTGCCAACTGGATTTACCAGTGTGCCATTAATACTGGAATCGCTTTGCCGCCTGATATAACTATATCTGTATCTGTACGCGAATTGATTTATTATAACAAAGCACGGATGTAATTTTACGTGAGTGAACATTCATTCAGTAACACAGATACATGTTTTTACAAATTATAACAACAAAATCTCAGTCAAGCTTTCCATTCCCTCCATTGTCCCAAGA